TACGAGCAGATCCTGCATACTACGTTATTAATTAATTGGCTAGGCAAACTAGCAAGTTACCTTCAAGCATTCACCTGCACAGCCTTCTGACTAGTAGGCACATAGCAGAAAATCCTACCCACTTGAAAGAAACACTATTGGAAACAAAACTGGAAGTGATTCCTGAGTATTCACAAAAGCACTCACCAAACTTATGCTTGCAATTAGAAACTATCAAGTAACACAGGAGCTATCCAGCAAACACACAAATGAAATGCAACCTGATCTTCCTTTCTTTGAATAAAAAGCAAGCAGCAACGATGGACACGCTGCTGGCTGAGAACATGGTGACAATGTGGAAGGCCTAAGGCATAATTCAAACAGTCCACCTGGTACTCTGCATGCACACAGAACATGTTATAGTTATAAAACATTCTAATTAAAAAGGAAAAAGCTAAATTAGGTAAAATAAGCACATCTTTACAATCCAAATGCTGCTGAATGGGTTCACTGTCAACATGAAAAGCTGCTTGCTCAGCAATGTAATAAATCTAAGGAAAATCACCAGCTTTATCAAAGGCTAGACCAGGTAGGATGCCAGTTAATTCCTAGTCCCTTCTGGACAGACTTCTCAGTCTGGTTTAAAGACATTGGTACATTTTAAAGAAGAATATTTCATGCTCTATGTGTACCAATAATCACACCAAAACAAAGTGTTTGGGCATTCCAAACATTTGACAATAACAAATTACGCTTAAGAGAAGTCCTAGGAACATCTGTATTATCATCAGTCTCTCCATAAAAGGGGTAACAACTTGACGTTTAATTTTTCTATCATTATTACTAAACGTGTGCACATTATCTGCTTCTAAGTCACAATGACATTGGGGTAAACAGACATTATGTTGCCCAATGTAGATTTCAAAGAAAAGAATAAAAGAAGCATATATGTATTCTCAGCTCCAAATTTACTTTTTATGGATGAAGAAATTATCCTAAAATCTCTTAAAATCTTCTCTTGCACTCCTTTGTTGTTGAGAGGTAAAACATTATGGCTGGATGTAATGCTTGTTAAGTTGTTCCAATTCATTGTTGAGGGTTAGTTCCGCTGGTTATACTAGTTTCTGTAGTGACACAGCAGAAAAACGGGAGTCTGACTTCCTTCTCTTCTTCCATGGCCCCATTACGGCAGAGTTCGCCATCTAATCAGTTCTACTTCACACTAAGTACGTGCTACTTGCTCCTCAATGGACTCAGTAAGGAGGTGAAATACTGCATTAGCAATCTGCATGACTATACACAGCAGAATGATTCAAAGACATCCTGAAGTGCACTGTGAGTGCTTACGAGAAAAATATGTGGAAGTTACACCTCTCTGTGCTAAAAATAATCTAGTTTAATTAAGACATACAGAGCTTCTTAATAAGATGTAGTTACTTTACCATGAAAGCACTACTAGCACTTTATACGGTTTTATGACTGAAATAATTTTCCAAATAACTTTCTATTTATTTTTATTTACAAGTGCTGAACAATAAAAGGCTACAGAAAACATTTTCTTAGTATTATTTCCTGTGACTCAGCACTTCTGTTGCCATAACCTACTAAGAATAAACATGTAGGAGGCAGCCAACTATAAATTTTCATGACCTTGTTCTCTCATCTCCTTTTGATGATTAAGTAGATTTCTTAGTATTGAGTAAACAGTCCAGAAAAGAAACCCATCAGAAGTTCTTCCTTGTTTCCATAGCCCACATTTACTTCAGATTAGGGAGAATTGAAAAACAAATTCCACTAGAACAAATCTTCCTATCGTACCAGATAAGAAGAATTTCTTTTCCAGCATTTGTGTCACACTGTAAAAGAGATCAAGAGATCTTTGCAGAGATACAAGGTGGAAGGAGAGGGATGAGCTAAGGAGCAAAATGGTCTAGCATAGCTTGCTAAACAAAATCTGCTTAGGCAGTCCAGAACTATCCAAGAACAAGTCCTACACAAAGGCAATTACTGATATAGCCATCCTTCCCTAGCTTAAGGCAACAGCACTCGCAACCTTCCCTAGACATTCTCAAATCAGCAGTTTTTCTGTACCTGAATTCCATTTAAAAAAAATACTGCTGCAATATTCTGAACAGGATCTGTATTTTACTGCTTTTTTTTCCTCAAAGAGCAGAAAGAAGAAAGAGTCCAATCTTTGAGGCACTTAACAAGAGGTCCTAAGAACTTCCCAGACACCTGCTTTATCTGTAACACTCACCAGTCAACTTCTTTTTACGTCCAGAGATCAAAACAGCAAAGGTTGCTTTCTGCAATAACTACTGAAGACGGTTCCGGTTTACCTCAGCTCACTCATTCAAAAATTTACTGGGAAGACAAGCATTTTAAATTCCTCACATTAGTTCTACACAACTGCAGCACAGCTCTTCACATTTAGGTCGATTTTTCTACCACAGGGAAAGCCCCAGGCAAAAATAAAGTTTTGATCTCATTTGACACAATTCTCAAAATCACTGCAGGAAACTACGATGGACCTAACTCAGAATTTGCTTCAGGTCCTACTCAGGATGAAGGTATCATTTCTCCTACCCCAGGTCAATGGGCCCTTCCCTGATAGCTAGATCTGTGATGGAACAGAAATCAGGGGATGCATCTTATTGCAATATAACAAACCACAATTCAAAGATAAAAAGATTTGAAATAAGGGAAACTGATGTCAGGTTTGGGGTTTTTTTAGCTCAGAGAAGCCTGTCAATTTTTTTTTTTCCCTCCAACGACCTCAAGATTAGATGATTAATTCCATGAAAAAAGACCTGATAACCATTCTGGTTGAAACTGAATTACTTTAAAATATAGCAGCATCTCTCTACAGGCCCCTGCTCTAGGTTTTATTCAAGAGTTTTCTCAGCAGCAGTCAGTTCGCATTGCACAGTTCAACCTAGCGATCGGTCCATTTAATCAGCCTTTACAATGAGCATCAGAATCGTCTACAGTTCTTTCATCCTCACCATGTTCAAAGCTTTGTTTTTATGAAATCTTTCAACTTTCCAATACTTTCCTCCCTTATCTACTCCTTTATCTAGGACCAGTGGTCAAGGGCACGTGATAGTCCTTAGAAATCCACATTGACTTCTGGAAGTCTCTGATCATAGCATTGGCAGTAATACTGAAGTCATGAAAATGATTAATTCTTTGTAAGATAAGGCTATCCAGGTATTAAAGACCACATAAACATTCATCATCAGGAAATACACTCGCAGAGAACAGCTGCAAAGCAGGTATACCTCATATATATAGAACAATATCGTTCAGATTTCAACAGCCTCTATATTTCAAAGTGGGATGGAGGAAGACTGTTCTCCTATCTTACAGGGAACGTGCCATAACATTTAATTTTTATAGTTGGATAAGCTCAACTCTCAGAGCAACAAAATTCTCTGGAAACAAGTCTAAATAAGTCAAAATGACACTAATGTTAAGAAAGGCCTAATGACCTCGCTTAGAAGAGTATTCACATAATAAAATCTCTACTAATGTCACATTAAGGACTGTTAGAGATTATTGTTAGTCAAGTTTGCTGATCTGCAGGTAAAATAACTGTCAACATCAACAAAACTGCATTTGATTGTCTGCTAGGCTGTCCTATCAGAAAAAAGGACAGAAATCTCGTCCAAGCAGCAGGGCCAACTTAAGATGATGACAGACAATAGACCCTTTCCTGTAGCTGATCTGCCCGTATGTCTGCAGTGTAAAATACCGCACCTTCTTTCCAACTCTCCTGTTTCCAAGAAAATGAGTCAGCATAGTGATTTGATGCTCCAAACACAATATACATAGTGAGGCTGTCTGGAACTAAACCATGTACTTCTATCAAGACAAACTATTCATCCTTATGTGGCAGAAAAAACCTCACCACCCAGTAACAATTGGTGCTTTTTAAAAAAAGACACCCTAAAATCTCAAGTTAAACATCATTACAAATTGTGTAGCAGTTAACAAGACTATAGGCTTACCCTATGTTCTTATTCACCATGTCATTGCTTGCACATACATTTCTTGTATAATGGTTGTTGTGTTGCTGCTGCTCTTGTCTCAAGAGGTAGCTGCCTTTCAAAATTATCAGATTATTGGAAAAATGGCTTGGGAACCTTTGGAATAAAACTGCCGTATGAATGAGAGAGAATATAGATGGATCTGATTTCCAGAGAAGAACGACAGAAGAAGGCACAAGGTCCTCTTATGATTGGCTGCCTCTACTCCCTTTATTTTACTCATACAAAACAGGTTTTCAGTTTAAACCAGAGTCATGGAAATAAAAATATGGAGGAATGCAAAATGTGCATTTGTGCAAATTGAAATTGGTTGTGAATTTTGAAGACAAGTTGATCCAGAGGGAAACAATTACTACAGAAAGAACCTGAACACTTCAGATTCTTAAAAACATCATTACTATGTTTTGCTGTGACAAAAATAGTCACATGCAGCAACACTATTTATCATTTCTGAAAATAATCGTATAAAAGTTTTACATACAGCTTCTCACAGACGTCTCATGTAAAAAAACGGCAAATAAGTCACTTTTTTGTTTTAAAAAGAAACCAGCTAGATGGTAATTTATATTTTCTATGTCTTGTTCTTTCTGATCCAAGTAACTTGGTTCTTATTCCTATACCTGTGTTAAAGAGCGGAATTAAAATTGTGTTAATGGATACCTGAGTATTTTGTATAAGGCAGTATAGCTACACAGTCAATGTATTATTTAACTAAAATGATGTGTTAATACCAAAAATATTGTAACAGTTGTCCACCTACAACTCATATAGTCTATTATGAGCAACATCAACCCTGTTGTGTGTTATAAAAAATGGTTATTCTCAATGGGAAAAGTTCCTTTTATGGCATACTGCACCTTTAAGTGTAACACCTGTTTACACACAAGCATTTCCAAACAGAATAGGGACTTAGAGGGAGAACACAAACTTCTTAAACAACAGGAAAAGGGCAAACACTACTTTGTCACCCACTTTTCTTATGTCCTTTGTACTGTTGTGATTTAGCTTTTTTCTTCTGTTTTGATGAACTTGACTGGCTATCTCTTGATGCTGCAAAAAAATTAAGAATTCAAAATTAAATTTTACTGTTTTGGAAAAACACTTCAGAATGTGTCAAAGCTGCTACAGTTACAGGATTTCTCCTTAGTATGTAAACAAAGAGAGAATACCTTTGTTGCAGGAAAAGCCCATCATTAAACTACTAGCAGTAATTACTATTACTTTCCCATTGAACAACTAACAGTTCTTGAAATACAGTTATCAGTTATTGTATAAAATGACCTGACAGGACAACTCTTGATGCACTAAAAATAGAGCCTTCTCACATCAATACCTCTGTACATGCTGAGTTCCCTCAAATTTGACAAGTATATATATGTATTTGCAACCTTAAATTCTCAGTGGTATTATCCAAAACTAACAAGTAACAGGCTTTTTCCCGAGATCAAATAAGCACCTTCTGGCATTAAAAAACAGTAATTAGCCACAGAAACACTAAAAAGTACTTTAAAAGGTGGAAGAGATTAGAACTCTGTACTTCTAAGCATTTGCAAAAATTTGTTCTATTTTTGTTATGCCTGGTAACTTAACTTGAAAAGGTTGAAGCCAGGAAAATCATCAGCCATGAACAAGGACCCGTAAGCAACTGTTATATTATTTACAAGACAGAACTTACACTGTGGCGCTGGAGGCTGTAGTTGATATCCAGTTAGCTGACACCATCCCACTGGATAGAGGTCTGGGGACTCGCAATCCACCCACTGATCATACTCATCTTCCCACCCATCAAAGTGTATCCTCAAAAGACGGTGGATAATGCGAGTTACTGTGGCCACACATACCAGTCGAGGTTCCATCAGATCAACAGCCTCCAGTTTCATTCCAACATGAAACCCATGGTTTGGAACTTCCTGGAAAAGCAAATACAAACAAGGCAAACATCATTAAGCAAACATGTTAATTAAGATGGTTTAAGCACAGGGTTGAAATGAGTATTTCTGCCAACTTAATGTAGGAAATAGCCAAGTATAATTTATGAAGTTTAAGGTACCCCTGTATTTATTTAACATGTCAGAAATAATCAAGCTTAATACTCAATTGGTTCTTATTTCTTAAAGTCTCTGTTGTCTTACTTTTTCACAATTGTATTTAATGAAGTCAATCCCATGGGCCATACAGACAAAAATTTAAATAAAATACTAATTACAGTTTAAACACACATGTATAATGTTTATTACCTTATTGAAGAGCTTTACAGGTGCGGCTATTGAGTCAGTTTCCCTGAGGTAGTCAAACCATTTAAAAGGGAGTTTTGCATAACCTGTGAATTTTAAATAACATTTTCATACATCAACTGCAAACTTCATGCATGACAACAACAACAAAAATAGTATACTGGCACTGTGTAATGGCTAAAAAGACAACAAAGAAGCAAAACATTAACATCAAAAACTTCCACTCTCTGAGCTTTGGTCTAAGGGACAAGACAGTCACCTGGATGTTGCTCATTTGCAACAAACAAGAAGAATGAACCTCTGGGTAATATAGAAAGTATCATTGAATGTTAAGATTAATCATTCATCCTTGAAGCTTTCTGTCCATGTAGATCCTTTATCTCTACAACACCCCACACAAACAACCCAGAACAGATTAAGCACATCCAGTGTCTTTCCTGTGGGGAAAGAGCTCCACTATTGAAACAACTGAATTATTAGGAACAGAGTGGTAAAAACAAGCATGGATATTTTAAAACCTAAATAAGACTAAAAATAGCAATAATACGGAAGATAACAGGATTTTTATTTTTCCAATTAAAAAAGCTATTATAGAGGGAAGAAAAAAGTCACTGAAATATATTTAGCTTTTGTTCATCTACTGAATATGCATAAAAAAATCAGGACTATGAAAGATTTCTTTGTAATATTATGCAGTGTTGGATAAACTGAAAAGATTGCAGCACAGTGGGCGCAGCATGGGGAGCTGTGGGAAACAGCTGGATCTCGTCTGGAGGGGTAGAGAGCTCCCACTGAGCCACAGCTCAGCACTGCAGGGCCAGACTCATCAGGCAGCTAACATTCATAGGCCAAAAGGCAATTTCATTCTTTGAAATGTCTAAGGATGTTCATCTACTGATTTCAGCAAGAGATTAAGATGTTTGGAAGGAATGAACTTGTAAACATGAAATACAGTGATTTCATAGCAACTCAGTTATCCACATTGCTAAATGAACTTTGGAAAAGAGTAATCATGTTGGGTACGCAATACCTGCATGAACAGCTGTAGCTGGATAGCTAAGAATTATTTAGAGTAATAAAGTATCAAATCTGTGTATCAATGCTTTTCCTAATGCACAGTTCCTCCGGATAAACCAATATATTTGTAGGCAAGTCCTTTAATTAACTTCTCACTATGCACCCACTAGAGCTGTGTGCACATGGTTCTTGCTAAGAGTAGTCAGAATTAAGAAACTTTCCATTTTGAAGCCCACAATTTGGAAAGCAAAATACACCTCTCATAAGAGCTAAGAAGCTTTGATCACTTTTATCCTATTAAATATGTTTATGTGCATCATGTTCTGTAATTTACTTCTCAATTCCTCTTTCAAATGACTTTTATATTATTGCATGTGTGACTTAGAATCAACTCTCAGTGGATCATACAGGACTGTTATGGATAACTGCAATAAAAGGGGAAGTGTACACGTAGATAAAGAATAAGGTTGTTATGATATAACAGAAGTACAATAAATGTCAACAAAAAAATCCACATACTATTGTGTAATTATTGTTTGAAGAGTAAAGAGGAAAAGTTTCACCATAGAATTTTTTTTCCCTATTCTGTATCGTCAATTTAATGTATTTATTTCTAAATTCAATGTGTATTGATATGCATGGTTTTTCCTCCCACAAAATCTTTTCCTATTGCAAGAGACTCTTGCACTACACATTTCTGAGGGGTAATTATGCCCATAAATTTCTAGGCAATAAATTCAATAAATGAGCTGACTGAAAAATAGTAAATCTGTTCAACTGCATTTTCCGCATACTCAAAGAAGACAGATTCATTAGTGTGCAATAATGAAAATGATATGAAATTATTTTCTTCGCGTTGCATTACACTGTCTTTGTAGTTATTACCTAGAAAAATAATTCAATAAATACAAGTAGAAGCCTGCAAGAATAAGAATGGAGAAAAAAAATCCACAGAAAACCATTATTATCTGCTGTTACGCAGCTAGTTACAATCCTCTTTTTAAATTGCTAAACCAAGACAATAAAATGTGAAAATGAAAGCAATACAGTCTCCTGTCAGCATACATGCTAGTGGACAGACAGCTTTTTCTCACAGAAGGGATTATACAGCATGCAGCTCTAATGGCTGCTTCCTCAAAACACAAATTTGTGCATATTCTTCAAAAAATTAACCGGTATTGTTGTGAATTATCCTAAGGTTGAGATTCTTTACAATGTTCGTTAATCCTTTTGGTGGACAGGACTTCCCAAACCATGACACATTCCGATCAGTCCTCTTAGTGACTAGCATACTTCCCATTCACTTAATGGACACGCTATTCAACTAGTGGCTATCCTCAATTTCTGATAGCAAAAGCAAATTGTTTTAGCCAGAGAATCAATCAGATGCTCAGTTGGACTTTTTCTAAATGAAAAGTTTGTTATCCCTGTTTTAAATTACTTTGAAGTTATGCTGTTTTGTTTCAGACTTGAGAAAGTCCTAGAAAGTGGTATGAATTTTGTAGCCTGAGTTAAGAAACAAAGCATATGGCACATACAATATCACTGAAAAATATTCAAAATAAAATGTGGTCAGAATGCTATATGTACCTCTGGGTGGAGTTAGTTCAATCATGTTAATTTCACAGAAACCAACAGGGAAAATAGAAGGGGAAGTGGCATGGTAACAAAACCAATCAGACCCATCTGCTGCTTCTGAGCCATCAATCCCAATCATAAGATAGCCATCTGCTAAAACCTTTGTAAAGAAAAACAAAATTTCACATTAAATACCTTTAACTGTGTGATAAGGCTAGAAAGAAAGCATGCCATGTTTCAAGAGTGTAAAGTAACTCAATAATAATGGAAGCACACTTAGAAGGACATTCAACTACAACAAAACAAAAAACCCCAAAGCATACCTGTGTCTCCAAGACTGGGTGTACTATTGTCAAATGTACCTTTGTTAACTGCAAAGTTGAGATGAACGTTTCCTTTTTCTGATCTCTAGTTTTTTTTTTTTTTTCTCATGAACATGAGTTCTACTTCTAAAACTTTATAATTCAGTCTACTCTTTAGTTTGCAAGAATATTCTGTGCACCATTAATAAGAAAAAAGACAAAATCATAACCACAGTCCTCATTGGTAAGGTTATGCCATTTCTTACATCTTCTTCCTTTTTAAAACAGATTTAACATGGATGGGTTCCCTTTCAATCAAGCTAGGGAAGAAGTATTTCCTTAAAACGTCTTCATAGCCTTCTGCAAGTAAGCAAGATGAAGTTTCTTTTTTGAACAGCTGAAAAACACCTGGTATAATTAGCAGAAGATTGCCCTGCAAATTAATCTCACAAACATATTATATCTTAATTAAAGGCAAGGCTGAATTTCCAAAGATTTGATTAAAAAAAAAAATTACATGAATATATTCTTTTTCACAGCAGTTGTATAGAAATAATTCATGGACATATTCCATAAACATTCACCGGGTGAACGAACTGCTCTTACTCTGGTTTTGAGCTTTTTGTTTTAAACCTGAATAAAGGTGAGCAGAAAAAGGATTCCCACCTACCTTGCCAAAATACACATTTGTTTTCTTACCTTTCTAATAGTTGCCACACATATTGCCGAAAGGTTTAAGGGGTCTATAGCTTCCAATTTCATCCCTTCTTTAAACCACTCTCCAGCTGCATCAACCTCTTTTACCTAAAGAATCACAGAACAGCACCAGAATCTAATAAGCCTGGAACAAATGATAACCCCACACTGCCAAAGCAACAGACGGAAATACCTGTTCTATCACTTCTGCTTATGTCAACGAGGCCATTTTAGGCAAGTGCTTGAATAAAAAAAGTAATGCTTATATTGGGCATATTTCCAGGACTTAAGTAGAATTTCAGGTCTGTGTTGCACACACCAGGAACTAAAGGTCCTCAATCAACTCTGAGGAAACAGTGTTCTTGCTAGCAAACTCACCTTCATAAATAAATGTGGGGGTGCATCAAAATGCCCATCCTGTTTCTTTGTAATATCTGCAGGAAATAATAGTACATATTATTCAGAAGTTTTATTAATAAAGCAGACAGTATATTTTTTTGAATATGTTAATTAATACAATGGAATCATTAAGTGTTGGAGGCCCACAGTTTATAAGAAGACTACCACAGGAATCTGGAGGACATAATCCATCTATCTTCCTTATTGACTTCTACCTGAAATACCCCTCTCTCTAACACAATCTCATTTATGGAAAAAAAAAAAATCCCTAGTATTTACAAGCCCACTGGATTATGTCACAAAATCAATACAAATATACATAGAAGCTTTTGCAAAAATTTGGCAAGTAAACTACTTTGCATTGTGTTATGACAAATAATTATATGTTTTTTATATAATTATACATAATCACTGTAAATACGTATACATATATATAGCTGGTTTTAGCCAACTGTTGAATACTACTTTCCAAGAGGAATCCCTGAAACTCTGTTAGAGACATTATTTCTGGGAAGTAGCACCGTTGATTTCTCTAACTCCTCTTATTTATAAATGGTTTCAGTGAAAGTTTAGACACTAGGGAAACTGAAGGTTTTCCTGAAGTGAAGCTTTGTGGAATGTTTTACAGAAATTCTGTTTCCGGCAAAGGATACGGGCTCAGTGGAGCAGAGAAATATTAAACCCAGACTTCTTTTGCTTAGAAATTTTAAATATTTCAAGTTACAACTATTTCTGTATTTTAGATAACAAGGGCCTTAACTGTACACCATCTATTAGTTTGTCACTTCACCTTCCCTGCCCACCTCCTAATGCCCTCTAAAATATGTAAATCTTACAATATAAAAATACTAGATGGTCCTTGAACTTGCAAATAAAAACAACAACAAAAATCAGTATCAAATAGCATACTTGTCCATGTTGTATTGTACAAGAGACAAACATGAAGAAACTCGGAGTTTGTGGAGCAGGACTGTGTAACTCCAGGTATCAGCATGAAAACATTAGGTTTATTGTGCTGGAATATTGCAGTTCAAGGTTTTCCTGCCTAGACAGTTAACAACTGTTTATCACTGCATCTTTCTAGATATCGATATACTGGAAATCAACCTAAAATTTACTTTGTGTTTTCCACTGCTGCAAAATAGACTAATAATACTTTTAACTGCAACTCCCGAATGTTATGTAACTGGTAAAGCCCTTGGGCTGCATTGTATGAATTCGTAAAGATCATTATTCAGGCTAATTTTATTCGTTGTATAAAGTGACAGTACTGCTTGAGTCAGACTTCTCCAAGCCAATATGGCCCACCAAACCACCTCTAAAACACAACAAGCTTACCAGATCTTTTGAATCTGTGTCCTATGCTTCGAGACCAGCCAATATGATGAATGAGTGGACTGTACATATGGCACCAGAAGTCATCAGTTTTGTCTTCACTTTCTTCATACACCAATCTTAACCGTCCCCCAATGACACTTTCTACAACTGCTACCCTTGTTCGACAAAGGTGTGTTTTGTCAACAACTTCTACTCTCATGCAGGTTTTGAATGGATACTGCATACTCTCAGACACCTTAAAGTAACAGAAAACAACACTTCTGTAAAAATATACTGATTTTCCTTAGCCATCTGTCTTCTGCTTTAAAACATGGTATAACTGCACTTTTCATTTAATTCAAATACTTGTTAATCAACCTGAAAAAATAACACAAATTATTTCTATTTCACTGTCCGTGGGAAAAAATTAAATGTTTCAGAAAGCTAAGTAGAATAGAACCTACAGTGCTTTAATTGTATCAAGTACAGTCCCTAATACAATTGTCATATAGGTCAAAGGAATTTTCCACTGACTTAATGAAAGTTTGTTCAGTTGGATAAAATGAAATGAGTTTATTCATGGATAAAATTACCATGAGAAACTATTTTAACAAAAAAAAACATAAATTTTTTTTTTTTTGCTTGGTCATCCACTCAAAATATAGCACTTTAAAAGTAGGTTTAAAATACTTTATAATAAAAGGCATAGAAAACAAACCTTCAACATAATTGAAGCTGGCCACTCAAACATATTTCTTTATCATATAAAAAGAAAGGAAGATAATGGAAATAGATGTTAATCTGCCTTGTGAAATACAGCCTGTTTAAAAATCATTATCTGTCACTTGCTATTTCTATTATGAACTCCCCAAAGTGTTGAGATCTTGCCAATTTAATTTGCCTTCCAACTGAACCAATTTTAAATTAGAAGTAAACAATTGCAGAAAGGTGGGGTTTTTCTGTGTGGTTTGTTTTCGTTTTTGTTTTTTTGTTTGTTTGTTTTTAAGTATTTGATGTAGTATAAGACAACAAATAAGTTTCATATTCCTACTAAAAGCTACGTACCATCTCACAATATTTGTAAGCTATACAGGCAGCTGCCACACCTACAGACATGACTTAAAGATGTCAAAAAAAAAAAATCTACTCCAGAGCAGATGAAAAATAGTAACATTTAAAAGTATGTACTTTATCGCATCTAGGTATGTGCTGCACTAATACATTTTGTTCAGTTTCTTGAAATAGTGCATAATAAAAATAATTCCTGAATTAGAAAAATCAGTTTTAATTTTTCTTACATATCACAGGGTAGCTTATTAGCACTTTTTTTTTTTTAATTGGGGTATTTTAGAATTGACTAACTAGATTTTACATAAAATTACTTTTTACTAGAGGAAACAGTTTTCCAAACACATACTGACAAGTGTGGACATAAATGGAGAATAGTGATTCTAAGGAAAACTGTATGTAAGGGAAAAAACTACTGTACCATCTTCACTATAAAAGGAGCTAATGTGCCATTGTAAAATACTTCAGTTCTTCACATTGTGCTGCAGTTCTGTTTATAGTACATCATTGATATTGCATCAGCCTTACCTTCTGAGAAAAGTCAGGAGGAAGTGTTTTGGCACCAGTAAGTCGTTTCACTAGAAAAGCTTTCCAGTTTGTGTATTTGTGTTGGATGGCTGTTGCAAATGAAGGGGAAAAAATAAGCCACTGATTTTTAATTGTGTCCGTTAGAGACAATATTAGAGTCTGGAATATGTAAAGAAGAGATCCCAGATGACTGTTAAAAAGCCTGGATGACAATAATGACAAAAACCTCTTTAGAGAATGAATGCTACCCAAGATTATGTTTATGGGTATGTCAGGGCAAAGGATTTAATAACAAAATATTAATAAAATCAGTGCATGTTCACATCACTGATTAGCTAACCGCTTCCACCTTGATCTTAAAAACTTTAAGTCACATCAGATGGGCTACTCCAAGAACCACTTTCAGCATCAGTCAAGTCCTTATTTTTCCAAAAGTTAAAATGATTTAGTCATAACTTGAAAGAGTTGCTACGGTAAAAAAATACTGTGATATCTGGACTATGAGCAAATGTAGTTTAATAAAGACTTTTCTGTCAATCACTAAGGCTACTATTTACATACTTCGTGGAGGGACCAGGGGCTTCCCACTGGTTGCACACCAACCAACTGGGTGGATGTCAGACCCACAAACGTTGCACCAGAAGTCAAGACTTGAATCGTTTTCAAAGCCTTCGTATCTTAGCAAAGCATTGTAGCCTGAAATAAAGCAATTCAATTTAAAAAAAGACAGAAATTAAACAATATTATGAAATACGTATTAATATTTCTTTACCAATCATAATGTATATTACATTGGGTTTTCTAGACAGTAACTTTTATAGAACGTTATTCTTACAGCACATTTCTGCATGTCATTAATGCACAGAAGGGATTACTGTGATAAATGTGCAGTTGCTGTCATGTAAGTAAAATTTTCATCAAAATTAAAATCCTTGAACCTTAAACCTTTAGAATTTATATGTAGGAGGACAAAATTAACTACCCACAGCATCAGCTTTTTCATATCTTTGCTTGACCTTAGCATGACCTTGAATTTTTGGCTTTTAACAACAGAGTGATTTGTATAATGAGGCCTTCTTGGTAGCTATTTAGTAATTTCCTATCTCCTCATTCTGCAGTGCTCTTACCGTACTTAGAGACAATATAAAAAACAAAAACCCCAAAAAGCCAGGCATTCTCAAGCATCACTGAAGCCAACTGTTAAATAGTACAACACAGTGATAGTGCTAAAACATATAACCTATTGACAACGCTCTGACCATCTAACCAGTGTTAACATTATAGTAACCAGGTAACTGTTGACTGAATTCTTAGCTCCCTTCACACAGTTATTTTGATTATTTTAATAATTTCAACTAAAATATTTTTACCTGCTAACTTTATAATCCCCGCTATCCAGAAGACTTTGGTAGGTAGGCTGCAGTCAGTGTTTGGAACCTCCACTCGCACTCCTTCTGAGATATCACCCCAGCATGTCCCCATAGGTGCCTATCATTTAAGGTAGGGGGGTAAATGTCACCAGTTCACCACATTAAAATGATTACTTTTTGTTACAGTAGTATTTTGCAAGCAACTTAAGAAGACAAAACAACCAATATATATAAGACATAAGCATATGTTTAGAAAACTCTTTGTATGAAAACCTAGCTTGGTTTTCATTTGAAGCTTATGTATAATATTGCAATTGTATAATTATTACTGTGTATTTCCTGCAAAAATTATAGGATTCCAAATTTAAAATTTAGTGAGAATGATGGAATTCCTCTGCACTTCTTGCAAGAAAATTATGGTACTTCAAATTCATACTTGTACCACAGACATCAAAATCTTTACATTCTGTACATCACAAATGTTCCTGGAAAACTGCCTAAAAGTTATTTCTTGAATCTATTCTGATGATTTTTATGGTGGGGTTTATCACCCACTGTTTCTCACCCTCTCTGAGGAACAGGCTTTCATATCACCTGCAAGTGATCATTCCATCAAGCAAGCAGGAAAAATAGAAGGCTGAGTGGCACCTTTTTAATGAATGACAAAAGAAAATGCACAGCTGGATTCCTCACTCACTGTCCTGAAGACATAGACTAATATATTAGTAACAAAAAGAAATACCAGCTTGATGAACTACTAAGGATTTGTGGAAATCGGAGGTAAAAATTACATTTGGTTTGCTATCTCAAGAAGAACACTTTGTTGAACAGAGCACCATGAAAAGACAGTCAAAGATGGTATTTCAGAGATATCAGAAAAGCACAGTGCTGAAGAATCTAAAATCTTAAAAATTATTCAGCTCAAGTTATATTGGTAACAAAATAGAAAATACCTCAGGCTACATCAAACTTGAGATCACCAAGAAGGGAAAGATTCTGACTTGGGGTATTTTAGAACAATAGTAATACCAGTTCTAAGGTGTTCTGAGAAAAATAAATGCTCATCAGTTCAGAGAATATCTAGCTACCACAAGGATAAGTGAAGGGATCCTCTGGTACTGTACTGTAGGGAGCAGACAGTATTCTAAGGCTGCATCTCATTTGCTCTTTGCAAACACGGAGAACTTAACCACTCAACAGAAGTAGCCTCCAGCTTCACAGAATTTTGGCCAAAAGCCACAAGTGAAGAAATCTGGATTAATCCTGAATGACTGGAAATCACAACAGTGGAATTTTGCTGGCAATCAGCAATAGCCAAGTAGCAGCACTAAAAGCTAAACTTCTCTTAAAAAGGGATATCCTTCAGTGACTGAAATATTTGAGGGTAGGCATGGAAAACTTAAAACTAGTTTTAACTATTAAAAGAGAAATACGGTAGTGCAATTACACCAGTTTCTTATTCTTGAAGCGTGGTCTCTTCATGTTCTGCTATGTCCCATCTACACCAGCCTAGACAGCAGAGTTCTATTCTGCCATTTGGCAGACAAAGAGAAACAACTTGAAGGATGATGACTTATTTTCACTGACAAAATATGCAGATACAGCTTCTTAATCAAGTCCTATTACATATTCACTAGCATCTCTAAATTGACATGTGTAGCTTTTTGAATTGAATTGGGGAAATAAACTTTTCAAACTGTGTATTTTTAATAAATCTTGTTGCCTTGTATAGAGATACAGATGAGGCCAAACAATCAAAAATAGCAGTGCTGAATAATTTCATAATCCAGCTGCACTTAATTGACATACATTTTACTGTCTGCTTATTTATTCAGTTGTTTCAGAGAGAAAATTATATCGAAACACTTCTCCAGTAATGGAAATGTCACATTTTTGTTTCTGGAATGTGGATTGGTATAGAGGGAAATAGCAGAAAGTTAAATTTGTCCTTGTCTGCAAAAATATTGGTTCTGCTAGTTCTCCTACACCAATCCATATGGCTTTAGAAGGAAGCCATCCTGTGTAGCATCACTACGGATATGCCAGATAACATGACTGTCCTGAAGTGATGGTTTACAATATACCTGGTATACTGCACCATCTTTTCCTTTTCAGTCATTATGAATATTCTTAAGGGAGGAAGACTGGATAAACCAGGGCTATAACAGCCATCCTCCTTCACATCTTCTCTATCTGATTAATCAATGTTTGCACAGTGCTTTGAAAATCTCAAAGCACTATGTAAGTGTTAGATCTTATTCATCTGCTGGCTGGAAGGGTAACTCTGAAGTCTGGATTGGCATAGTGCAAACTAGCAGAACCATAATTTACAGCTAAGAACAAATTTACCTTTCAGACTCATGATGGAGAAATCCACTTCACATCACTCCCAAACCAGGAAGATCTGGTTCATGGCTTTCTGCTCCAGGAGATGACTTGGGAGGGCTTATCTGTGAGCAGCAGCTGCCTTCTCTGCAAGGTAAGTTGCAATCAGGAAGGTCCTGTTTGACAGCAGCACCTAAAGGCTAAGTAACCCCACACGCCTAGCTGAACAAAGATCTCATGGGTTATATGAGTTCATGGTGCTCACAGCTCCTAAAACTCTCAGGGTTTCTAAAGATTTTGGGTGACACTGACATTGCCGTGGTTTCCTACTTGAAATGTGAATTGGGATTCTAATGGCGAAGTGATGCTAGGAATTTCTGAAGCGTAAGGATAGTATGCTGAAACCTTGTGTGTGAACAGTACCGCCACAACAGGTAACGCCAGGGAAGACAATGTGACAAACCGCCTAAAGTACAACTTTCAAAGCAAAGCACTGCCACCTCGTGTAAAATCCTGGGAATGCTCCCTCAGAGCAAACTATTTTAGTAACAGAAGAAATCAACAGAATGGAAGTATTTCAGCTCAGAATAAAATTCTACCGGAAGAAAAACTCAAAAACTCTTAACTTCAGGAAATGTGCATCTCACTAGCAACAAAGTGGAAAAGAACAATTACTATTAATAGTTAGTACTGACAAATGACTCAAAGCACTGTAATTGCTTTCATTTCTAGGAATCATTTGAGCTAATAAAAGCAAATACAGAAAAAAAGTAAAAACTGTTTACAAGGAAATGAAATTGAGATGTAGGTTAGCAATGAGCACATTATACATTACTAAACTATAACACAATATTAAAAACACTAAATTTTTTATTCTTGCATCAGCTACACTGCTGTGTGTCTGATTGGAGCTTTTTTTTCTTGAAAAATCATGTTAACGTGCACAGACTGTAATTCTGGCTTTATCACAGGCTGTCTATATGCCATAAACCAAAGCAGCTTCTCTACTTGTGTACTGAACTATGAAGTGGGCATAGTTGTATTATCGCTAGTGAATTTCTTTAGTGTTACTCAACACTGAAGTCTGGAATGAAGGTAGCAGGGAAGTACAAAAGCCACATTAAAGGCATCAAAAGACTTGAAAATTAATTCTTCTCATACAGAGAAACAGAACTTCAGCAATTAAACGTTGTATATCTAAAATGGAACTGTTTTAAATTGAAGAGGAAATAAAAAATAATTATGTGGGAAATTTAGATTAGACCTGAAATACTGACATATGCCAGGTCATTAAAAACATAAGCTAAATCCTGCATCTTACAATTCCCTTACATTTTCTTTCATATTGATCCCAGTATACCTTATCAAATATCCATACAGATACACGTGGTACAACCAGATACATATTCTATTTAATAACAAATTTAAGGGTAGATGCGTCATGCTTTTACTGTCAATTCAAAACTCCTGTTTTGAACACAATAAGCTTTAGATACTCAATCTCACAGGCATACACATGCATCGAATCCATAGTATGGATGGTAAGCAAACATCAGCTAATACAAACTTTTACAAATCAAAGCAATATAGTACATGGAAAATATAGCAATAATCATTCCAGACATACAAAGAGAGTATCACTTCCTTTAGTTATCAACAGAGAGTGGGGAAGAGAGAAAAGAATCTAACAGGAGAGCACTAACGTGTTCTCAGATTCTGACTGGTTTAAATAATACATTGTTCAAAGAAATAATTACAGTAAAACTAAACGCGAATCACACCCTTGTGACACTAACTTATGTCCACAAAGAAGTGGAAATCTCCAAAGGAGATTGCAAGAGTTGCATTTTACTTGTATATAGAAGGAAAATGGGGACAAAAAAGAAACAACATTCAGGCTTAGTAGAACCGTTGCCATGTAGCTTGTGAAAATATTCAAGGTAAAATATGAACGTGAGCATTGTATTTGTTCACAATACTCACATTATTTTGTGTACCATTCAACTTAATGAACGAAGCAGTAAGAAAGGAAGATCTAACTCTTCTTAATATGCAATGTTATAGTATAATTTACACGTGACCTAACTACTATAGCTGTTTCCTAATTAAGGATGCCATACATCACGAAGCATTTGTTCTTATAATAGCACAGTCCACCTTATCAAACAATACTTTTTGATATGTACTTATGAAATTACTTATTATAGCATGCACATAACTGAAAGCAAAGTGCAAGCATGCTTCCTTAAGCACATGGAATTTGATACAAATTCACGAAGCTATACTAATGCAAGGCTCTGTTCTGGGCAACGGCTAAGGCCTCCAAGCATAAAGGGTGCTATTCAGAAAGTGCCAACTGCTAAGAGCCCTCAATTCCTACTGATTTATGAGTTGACAGGGCTCAGCATGAATTCCAGAACTGGACAGAAAATATGTCTCTTTCCACCCTTATGGACAACTTCCAGGAAACAAAATGTTTTGATTGCAATTTTCATCAGATAATTTTGAGCAAAATAGAACTTCTGTACAAAGAGAGAACACTTCAACTTCCCAAATAAAAAAACAGTATGCTGAGCAAACACTTGCTGTCAGAAAGTTTTTTGCTTGAGACAGAAAATACTGACAATATTTTAAACAAGATCTAATGACTGGGATTTAACACTAAGACAGCTGCTGCTAAATATTCTTCTCATCCCCTAATTACACTCTGTAATGACTGAGGACTTTGTTTGGAATTTTTGTAACTCCAATATAAAGCAAACCCCAAATTCTAATTTCAGATTTATAAAAAGCCTTCATTTTCCTCTATTCCTACACTACCTGTCTACATGACTGACAGGGAGAATATGACTGAAAACTAACAAAGAAATCCCAAATCCAAGTATGTAACCAAAAGATCAGTTCAATATAACGAAGCAAGCCTGACTCAATCTAAAAAGCCTTTTGTAACTTTTTCTAATATTGCATGACCTGGTTGGGTTGGTATTGCATTCAATGATTTTTGCACCCTGAATATGAGAAAAATAACATCACAAGTGTTTGAGAGTCCTTCTTTTACTTTTTTCTTCATTTATGACAGAATGTATAATGAGAGTAACAGTGTTCAGAACGGTTTTAAAGGACAGTTAAAAACAAACATACCCATCTAAAAAGTACTAACACAGTTTACAACATAAGTTTCACAGTCCAAGGCCATGAAACATATTTGGATATGAATGTTTTTCAATAATTAATTCAAGAATTATCATGGACTCACTCTCTCTCATACACACACACAAAAGGATAGCACATACTGAAAAATACTTACGTGTTTAAAACAGGTAACAGGAGCTGCTGTAAAGCTATTGCTATTGATGTAGTTACCCCAGCTGAAGCCTTCCACAGGGACAGCTGCTAAGAGAAAGTTATTTTATTTAGGAAGCTGCTAATGAGCCACAAATCTTGTATTACCAAGAACTTGTTTCAGCTCTGTTCATATGCCATTACCTGCTTTAGTCTTTGCCTGGTTTTGTAAAGTTGCTTGGTACTGAGCATATGCTGCTAATTTAGCCACTAGGGGTTGTTTTTGTAGAACTTTAGCCTTCTTTGTTGGAGGTTTACCCTAAAACAAAAGAAGCTAAGTAAATAAAGTCTTTCCAGACTCCCATCAGGAAATATCCATAGGTCTGTAGCATATTTCCGACACATTTAATCAAAATGAGAAGAACACAGAATGGAAGTTGACCAAATATCACAAAACTACATGTAATATTAAATAAATTTAAAAACCAGTAGCAAAGAATGTCCAAAAGATGACTTTTGTACTAGTATTCCAACTTGAACAGCATTATAGATTCACTGTTGTTTACCTGAAAAAAAGATATCTTTTAAAAGCAGGTCAAAAGGAAGAACTTTAAATCTAATATATACCAATGACATTTCTTGGCATTTGTTGCAATGAATTTGCAATAGGATATAATGCTATTTCTTGACATTTCTGTCTCTTTTCTTGAACGTTACAAATACACCTTCATGATTAATATTTTAAGTCAATTGACCAAAACCCATTTTGCAAATCTATATAGTTAAATAAACCCTCAAAAACGAAACACAACAACTATAAATAAACCTTTATGCTGTCTAAAGCCAGAAAGTATCTTGGCTATGAGATGAATGGAATTTCAAGTTGCTACATATGTAGACTGAAGATTTTTCCTGATTTTTGTCTTGCAAAAGGACCACTGCAGTAGAATTGCAATAAGAAGTAATGATCAAAGGAATTTGTTCATTACTGATACAATTCTGAGTTTGGACTCACAAAATCACTTATGTGAAAATGTGAATGCGTTAAGAAACTTATCTTAAAACATCATGCAAGTTTTACAAACACAGAGTATAGTAAGTATATAAAGAAAATGGTGTCTGTACCGCTACCTGAAGTCTGGCCAGAATGCTGGCCTTCTTGGAGTTCGATGAATAGCTTCTAGAGCATGACACACTGCAGAAGCGTTTTGTTTTAGAGTAAAAAGCATCACGGACACCGACCATTCCACACATCTCGCATGTAGCTAATGAGTGGAGAGAAAAAGTCAAATGTTTACCTCAGTAAAAATTCAGAACAAAGATGACATAAAGAAGGTCCTGTAGGTGGCACCAACAAACAATTTCTTAGGGTTTGACTCTGAAGAGAATTCCACAGAAAAACTTAAAATAACAACACCATCGCAAGTGTCAGTGAAACACTAAGAGACTCGAGCTCAGTAGTGAAAGGATGCCTCCTTTCTGATCCCTATTAATTTTACCACTGGTAGAAGTGGATGACCCAGTCAAATCAGCTAAAGCCAATTACTGTTTTCATGGTTCTCAGGGAAATGTCTGCTTTGAATCTGGGCCTGCCAATCTTGATTTCCTCTAAATATTTAGTACTTCCGACCTGAAATAAAGCCAGATCTTTTTGGTGAATCATAAATTAGTATACCCGAAGTACCTCAGCCCACCAATATTCTCTTGTAGCTGGAATCATATGCTTCAGAGGTTGACAGCATCACTCACTGAGTTGTTACATGATTGGAAAGAGTTGGTGACCAACTTATGCCAATGAGACAATACCAAGATTGAACCCAGAGAGAGCTCCTCTAATCACTGATGATTTTGGCTAAGGTATTTCTTCTCTGATGATAAAAGCCATCTTCCCTTTTAAATTTTTTTTCCCAGTACATTCTAGCTTACAGCCAGTAGTTAGTAACAGGTATATACTAACAGACTTTATACAGTAGCAGTAATGAAGCTTTCCTAGTACAGGAAGAAACACATTTCAATATTGTATATATAACAAAGAGTAGAGAAAATATATGCCCAAGCAGAGAGAGAACACACTGACATTTTCCTCAAACCTCAAAGATTAAAAATAATGTACATGAGAACATATACATGCATGTGCATATATACACAACATCCATGTGATGGGAGGGCAGATGTTCCCATACTATTTATTTCCTGACAGCAGGATTCAAAATTTATTTTATTTCAGTTCAACAAAAACCAAACAATTCCCCCATCCCAGAATTAATTAACATTAACTTTCCAGCAGTTCTGGTCCCTTTTCAATTGGGACCAACATTTGGGACTGGACCCTCACAACTCATACCACAGGCTAAAACCAATAAATATTAAACTCTTTGTACTCATGCACCACATACTCACCCATGCCAGATTTGCCATCTGGATAAGTATAGACCTGTCCATTGTTCTTTATAATTGGGAGACTGGACGGCAAAGGAGCAACCTCCTCTTCACTCTCATCTGAACTGGAGCTGCTGCTGGTGTCCTCACTACAACTATCATAACCGTCAAACATCCCGAATGAATCACGTCTTTTCCTTTCTGCTCGTGAAGTATGTTCTGTCTAAAAATAAAATAAAAAAAAAAACAAACAACAACAAAACAAAAAAAACCCCAGAGAATAGCAGAGCATTCTGAATGCAAATATTTCAAAGTCTAGCTTAAAAAGTTTCAAAGGTCAAAGTCAGCCTTCAGAAGTAGATGTACTAACAAACTGCTCTATCAGCACAGAGATATGAGCCATATATTGCCAATTAAATTAGTATTGGTACAGTCAAAACTGGACAGTTTTCGGTATTGTGATATAAAGGAAGAAAAGCCTATCTCATAATCCACTCAGAATACACAGTAGCAGTCCATACATCTTTCTTGGTATCTTCAGAGTTCATTAAATCTGATGTGCTGAATAATGACAGCCACACAGATCTCATATGCAAATGAGCACATTCCAGATGGCTGCAGCCAATTTCACTAAAATTCATTCATTTGAGAAGGCCAGCAGAGAAAAGACAGTTCAACCAAGAGGGCACTATTGCACAGGAACATACACAAGAGTGTATCTCTGCTCTCACTGGCTTGGGGGGTTATCAATAAATCACTCAGCTTCCCCCTGTGATTCAGTTTCTCACGTGTGAAACAGAAATACCTCTCTACCTCACGGGGATGTTCTGAAGATTAATACATTAACAGTTATGAAGAGCTCAGTTACTATGGCAATAAGGTCTGTATAAATGCTAAAAGATAGAAAGGTGACTAATTTGCCACTGTCATATACAGAAACTTGTTACATAATAGAGTTTTCCTGTAAGCAAAAATCTGAGGCCAAATAAAAACATACAGTTTTGAAGAACGTACAGCAGTTAAGCAATTTCCAAAGACATTAAAGAAGTATAAACAATTAACTGATATATTTTTTTCTGATGCACATCCAATGTATACATTTTAATAGTGACAATTTTAACTTTATTAATATCTTACGCAGCTCTACTGAAACAAGGCTACTGCCACCTGAGCTGCCCCCATTGAGCTAAAAAAACTTCTAAAATTTACAAAATATTTCCAATATCCTTAACAGTATCTACTAAGCTTGAAAGGAAATAACAGATAGAGAGGATAAAGAAAAATTCTACAACGAAAGCCTAATTTAGGAGAATGAAGTACAGCCAAGAATACAGAAAAAAAAAATATTAAGAACACCTTTGCCTCTAGTTCCTCTTCCAAGAGCTAATTTTATTTAAAAGTCGTTGTTGTCAGAAAATTAATAATATGTGATGGGACTTTTCCTTCTTAAATTACGTTTGGATTCATAGCTTTAAGATTTCATCACAGTAATTCCCCAAATCCCTTTCCTAGAGAGTATATGCCTGAACATCTTTATTGTTGGATCTTATCTTTTTCTGCCCTGCTATCCCTTTATTATAATAGCCTCTATTCTCCTTTGCAATCTGACTAAATCCTGTTATGGAAGGATTTCCTCAAAGTTAAAAGGGAAAACTGATTTCCACACTGACCCAATCCTAGCATCCAATTAAAAAAAAAACAAAAAAAAAACAAAAAACAAACAAACCAAAACAAACCAGTAAGCACAAAAGGTTATGCATAAAGTAAACAAATTTAAAACACTTAAAGCAGCTCTGAAACAAAACAACAAAAAGAAGTCAGTGTAAGGTTAATTATGCACATATTCCTCAGCCAACAATTCAAAATTATATTAAAACCAAACAAAACTTTCAGTAGGGCATAACTCGACAACTCCTTGAAGGAACCAACATCTGCCTGAAGTCGCTAGGGTAACAGTTGCAATCATTAGAGGGAACACTGAGCAACAGCAGAAGAAAACCTAGTCCTGACCTGCCCTGGTAACAAGTCCTACCTGTGCACTGCTACTGATGCAATTAGCCAACAAGATGCAAGACAAGTTATTTGTTTGTGTGTGCACATGTGCGTGGATTAAGGCAGAAGTTGAGCACAACGTTGCTATGGATACAGTGTTCTACCAACAGTGCCAGTAATTTACAGATCAGAACATGAAGACTAGTCATCTTCCTCAAGATTTCATGAACTCCTTAATGTCTCAATATTTAACCCTCCGGGACTGCAGTGTCTGCTAAGAAATAAAATGTAATACCATATTAACCATTCATAACAATAATACCAGAACACCATGATGCCTTCTAATATTATGGATAGATACTAGTGGTGTTTCAGAGCCCATGGGCTGGATCTCCTTTCTCATTCACTCATCCTCCATTAAACCAGCAGATCTGATTTCACTGAGAGATTATGGCCTCATCCCATGTAAAGGCAGACTTCAACCCTTCAGTAGAGGCTGCAGGACAAGGGAGTCAGTCTCAGAACATCCTTGTTCCATTCCAGACTGGAAGAACTCTGGGCCCATGCTGCAGCTCTCCTCTTCCCAGTACATTGCTGGCACAGGTCTGAAATGCTGTAGGAGCTCAAAAGGAAGACATGCAGCCCATTCCCAGTCCCTCCAACTCCCAGTGCTACAGTAGAGAAACTTTACAGCCAGCACTGCTCCCACTGCAAGGGAAGGGGAAAGAAGAAATGGGAAGCTGGAGGCAAGATGAAGGACCAGTGGCACAGAAGGGAAGACAGGCTGCTCTAGGCAAGCTGTAGCATGGTGCAAGATTACAATTGCAGATACCACAATAGCACAGTTGGCTCATTTTTTGTTGTTGTTGTTCTTTTGCATCACATATATTTAGAATCTCCATATTACTGCCAAGCACTCTTTGCCAAAATATCCACAGATGAGAAAAAGTGAAAATGTTTTCTATATAGGAAACTGGGCTCCCTTCAGCATTATATGAGTTCCTAAGTAGTAATCGTCAAGTTTGTTGAGTTTAGCTATCCTGTCAAAACAAGTCTCATAGACCATCTTTCCATTTACTTTATATTTGGCTGAATCGTCCCAGTTAAAGTCATGAGCAATTCAAAACAGCAGCTTTGCTTATTGTTTTAAAATAGCACTGTAGTTTTTAAAAAACATTTTTATCCAAGCTTTTGCCAGAAGATGACCATGTTTGCCAGATTATGTTATGTAGGACATTCTTAATGTTAATTTATAGTTATTATCTAGATCATAATTGTGGGGAAAGCTATTCAAAATATGTTTTGGGAGACTTGGAAAAGGTACATTTTGGAACAAGAAAACCCCCACAAAGTACTTTGTGTGCAGAAGTAGGTATAAATTAGGGAAGATGATATGCAAATACCTATGCTGGAATTTAGCTAGAGTAGATCAAAACATTTCTATTTTGATAATGAGCACCACTAAGACTCTTTTTAACCCATGCTGAAACACAGCATTTGTAGAACCAAGTGAACAAAACACGGAACCTGATAACCCTTCACACAGAATTTGATGGAGTTTGCAGAAGAACAGGACTTCTAACATGTGAAGCAAAAAAGATGGGGTACAACTCTGAAGTTAAAGGTCAAAACCAGCGCCCTTACAAAAAGGACCATGTATGCCTAAAACAGAACCATAACTAAGATAAAGAAGCTGCTTCAGTCACAGAAGCAGCCTGCAATTCCTGCTGAGTTCTTGCAAGCGATGAGCAGCAGTGTGCCTTACCAGCTGACTAGCACTATCTTGTCTGACTGACAAAGAAGCACCTAACCAACCATGGTAGCTACGCGATTGCTACAAATGGAAACCTCAGGAAGAACAGCTTATTACCCTGCAAAGTGTTCCCAGTGAATTTTAAGATACTGTCCATGAGAATGCGGCCTTTCACTCAAAAAAGCTAGCAGAGACTAACAGCTGTAGTAACTTAATCTAATAATTACAACCATAGTAAAATCAATCCATGTTTCACAATCTAGACATACAAGAAAAAAAAAGTTTCCTACTTTTAGAAGCTGTATTTAGCACGAAAAACCATGCTGAGGAGGTTGTCTTTTCCTCAAAACATAACCACATTAGTGTTGTTCTTCACCTTCTAACAAATGACTGTGTATCATCCTGCCTATCTGCAAAACAAGCCTTGAGCAAGAGTTTGGCTTAGTATAAAACGTAGAACCCTGCTGCTGGTTAATTACAAAAGAGCAGTAGTTTAACTCCACCACTAATAGAGAATCTACTAGTACAATAAGCAGAAGCAATGCACAAACAAAAGAACAAGACAAACTTTTAGGTATACTGGCTAAGGCTTATTTTCCTAATGAGATTACCAGTTCCTCAACAGGGAAGATTTTTAGACAGAGCAATATGAAGTCTAGGGTAAGTGGGACCAGCAAATAAGCCTGTAAGAATATTTGCTTGGGGGGTTTCTTGCATACTTTTCTTTATTGAAGGGATGGGCGGAGAAAGGAACTCTTAAGAACTGGTTGCTTATTCTGCCCAACTTGCCATTCTCCTGTTCTTCCTCTCCTCCCTGTGAATACTTGGCAACAATGTATTTTTAAGAAATACTCTTAATTAACCATTACACAAGGCAAATGGTACGATAAAATAATATAGTTAAGGAAACCGGTTTCCTAAAAGCAGGAAGGCAACTCTAAACCAATATGAAACATAACTAGCTTCTCACTCTCTTAACATATAGTCTTATACAGTTGAATTTGGTCAGCACATCACAGCATACATTCTTGGAGTGCAATAACTACGCTTTCAGCATGAAAAATTGGTCACGGAAAGTGAACAATGCACGGCCAAAACACAAAATAAAACCTTTTAACCTTAATTAGACATCAAATACTTACGCAGATAATTGCTTTAGTGTCTTGATGAATACTATGCTCAAGTATTGGCAAAATTTAAGATATAGTGTTCTGAAGGTAAAAACTTGCTACAAAAAAATACCCCATTATTAAGTAACCAAACTTCTTGACCCCAAGTAAGTGCATCCTGGCCAAAGGAGGATGGTCCGAAACAATCACAGAAAGGTTTCAAACCAGTCAAAATGGTTGTTGTTACTACTCAAGCAATTTGGTGTTTGAATTCAGAAAAGCAACAATTTAGAGCTTGAATTACTAGAGCTGTAGCTTAACAAAGGCTGACCAGCACCTATACAGACAGTCATCACTTTCTATATTCAGATCTAACCCCCAGAAACATGACAGAAGTATGGACAGATGGTATTTGAGGCCAAGGTCAACAATGAGGTCACCACAACCTTCAAGCCAACGGTCTGTGATAAGACACATTTACTTTAATCACATATCCTTAACAGATCATGCATTTCCCAGAGTGTATTTCCAAGCTGGTATTAAATTTGATGGACATCTTTTGTTTTCAGAAGTTCATTAATGTTTTATGCTACAAGCTTAGTTTCAGCTCTGGATGTTGGCATTAAAGAAATAAGACGATGGAACTAATCTATTACAACTCTTCTGAACATAAGCTGGCCAAAATAATTTACTCTAGTAATACTAACTTGCCCCCTGTGGAACTGAAGTCTAATTGTGCCTCACAGCATTACAAAAACAAAAAAAAAAAAAAAATCAAACATGGTATCAATTTAAAGGAAACATACTTTCATCTTTCATTAAAAACAATCAAACAAAAAACCCCCAAAGCTAAACATCTTGGGATTCCTGGAAATCAGAACCAAACTTACTTTTTATATAAGCAACTCACCTCTATCTGGAAATGTGCCTTCCACTTTTATAATAAGTAAAATCTCTGCTGGAAAATTACAGAAATGTTTTTTCCTGTCTCTTCATTTGCTATGTATGACAGCATTTTGTCTGAAGCCAGTTTCTGCTGTTTGCCAATGGTTTTGTCCATAGCCTCTTCCCCAGGGGGTTTCACACAAGAGGGGAGACTCTTTCATAAAAAAATATATCAAATTAGCAGGCAATTTTGGAGGGGAGGTGTGATGATTAATACGTGAAATATCTGAGTTTTGAGAAAACTGTAAATCTGTTACAAACTCCATTATGTTTCTACAAAGCCCTTACAGGAGTATCTGGAAGAGGCAAATACTTTGCTTGAAACAATGTGTTACCATTAAAAAAAAAAAAAAAAAAAAAAAAGAAGACAGAAAACAATTTAATGTAAAAAAGCCCCAAAAATGCCACCAACCCAAAAACAAAGTCTTCAGCACCTGAACTCATTCCATGTGCTCAGAGCCAGATTCAGCAAAATATCACACATGCCCAGAGTGTACTGACTTACCTGAGAAATGAAGGTATGCAGTAGTAGTTTGCAGAAGGTATCAAAAGCCTTGCAAAATTAAATCAAATTTTAGAAGGTAAGAGAAATGAAGGCCAGTGAGAGAGAACTTTTGTACACATTATCATTAATGCCACAGTGATCTATCTCTTTAGGGAACAACAATGAAAAGAATCCTTACTTTCAGTCTACAATCCTTTTGCAAGAGCACAAGCCTACACACTCTCAAAAACAACACCTAAACTATTCTTGTGACATAAGCAATAACTTCCACATAGGGGAGTATATACCTCTGTCATGTTTCCCTATAGATTGCATGACAGACTTCCTCAAAAGTGTGATCCCTAGGCAGAAGCAATGAGTAAAGACTACTAACCTACTATGTTTGATTGCTTTATAAAGGAATATAATGTTTAAGTTCTCATGCAATGCTCCAGATTAGACTCTCATAGCCTTTTTATTTCATTCCTTTCAAGTCGATATCAGATTGTTATAAACAAATAAGTAAATGCAGATTCTCAAACCTGCAAAATAATTTTAATTTAAAACACAGAAGATTGCCCTGCAGCTTTCAGTTTTAACTGGTTTTAGATCTGAAAATCCACAAGGGCTGCCACCCACAATTTTATATCATTATTTTAGAATTAATTAATTTTTCACATGCAGTAGTTTCTACCATAATCAGCATATACTTTGTAGTAGGATTATTTTTTTTTTTAAAAGCCACACTGGGCAGAAATTGCTACACTTTAAAACATTTCCAGCAACAACCTGAAAGTGAAACTGGTTTTACAGGTTTACTGCTTCTCACATTAAGAACAAAGTCAGAATATAAACAGTCATAAAAATTACATAGAGGGGGAACTGGATGCAGAGAAACCCAAACTTTTTAAGTGCTAATACTGAAGAATACTCTACAGCACTTAAAATGAGCAGGACTAGAAAACTAAACCTTAGAGGCTTTAACTACAAGAGGAAGCTACTGAAAAAGCAGCACTTCAGTGGAACACTAAGAGAAGCATACGCGAGCACGCCTGCATCGCTCGGTACGAGATACTCTAAAACTTTTTATTACGGATCCTGACTGCCGGCAGGAAGAAGGGGAAGAAGGGGGAAAAAAAAAAAAAATCCAAACTAAACCAAACAAAACACCCAAACCCCAACAGCAAGGCACGAGAGGCCGGGGCAGAGCGCAGCGCTCCGCCAACCACCGGGATCACAACAAAGGGGGAGCCGCCGCTGTCCGCTCCACGTGCCCGCAGCTCCCCACGCGTGACAGGCTTTACAGCGCTGCCGACACCCCCCCAAATCCACACTCCCCCCCCCCCCCACCCCCCCGCTTCGGGCTGCCCCCTCTCCGCGGGGCCGCCCCCAAGAAACTTTCAGCGACAGCGCTCCGCAGAAAAGCCAGCCCGAAAGCAGCCGCGCTCCGCACCCCACGGGGCGCCCCCCCTCCCCCCCCAAAAGCCGGAGGGTGCTGGGGGTGCTCCCCTCCCACACCTACGCGGCGGCCTCCCTCCCTCCCCGGCACCGAGGGGGCAGTCGCACAGCCTCCAGCCCATCCCCCGCGGCGGTCCCCCCCGCCGCTCCCCTCAGGGGCCGGAGGTGCCGTTCGCCCCGCTCAGCCGCGGCTGCCGCCTCCCCCGGGCTGTGCTACTCACCAGGTCCTTTGTGTTTTCCATCAGGCCCTCATGGGCAGGAGACGCCCGCTGCCTCTGCCCCCTCCCCTCGGCTCGGCCCCCTCCGCCTGCCACCTCCCCCTGCGAGGGGCCGGGCCCGGCGGGGCAGGAGGCGGCCTGGAAAGTTCAGCCTCTCACTCCGCCAGAGAAAGAAACCCAACTCCCTGCGCCGGAATATCAACAACATTAGCATAACGCCCCCGCGCATGCGCGGCGCCCGGCCCACCGCGCGCCCTCATTGGGCTCCCAGCTGTTTGGGGCTTCCTCGCTCGCCGTACGCTCTCTGGGGGAAACCATTCGGAAACGTGTGTGTGGGGGGAGCTCAGCGTCAGGGAAGGGGGCTGGGAGAGAAAAGCAGCCCCGCCGCGGCGCGGTTGGCCAGGCGGTAGAGCGTGTTGCGGGAGGGACAGGCGGCGGCTGGCGGTGAGGAGCGCCTCTTGTCGCAGGGGTGTGGGAGGGAACACCTGTGGGCGCGCAATGGAGCGGCCCAGCCGTGAGTCGCGTCACGTGGAACAGAGAGGGGAGGAAACGGGGAGGGGGGAGAAGGAAGGCAAAGAAAGGAGGTCATGTGACAGCGACTTGAGGCCAGGGAAAAGTGGCTGGGTCACGTGGGCGGGGGAGGAGCAGCAGTGCAAGCCTATCACGGGCGGGGGGCGCGGTCTAGGCGCGGGTCACGTGGTGAGCACGCACGCGTTCCGGTTCCGGCGAGCGGCCGCCCGGGGAGAAGCGATGCGGCCGCCGGCGGGAGCCTCGCGGGGCGGGAGGGAAAGACCGAAGGGGAAGAAAGCGAGGGAAGCGGCGAAGCGGCCCCCGCCGGGCGCGGAGGCGGCGGCGGCGGAACGGGCGGCGGCCGAGCAGGCGGCTCGGGAGGCCACGCGGCGCGCCCGGCACCTGGAGGCGCTGTCCCGCGGGCCGGGCGCCGAGCGGGAGCTGGAGGAGCTGGTGTTCGGTGACAGCCTCACGGTCGGGGAGGATGAGCTGCTGCGCTGCCTGGCCGCGCCCCGGCGGGTAAGAGCTGGCGCCCGGCGGGCAGCTTTTGCCCCGCGGCCCGGGGAGCGCGGGGGGGCGGCGGTTTGCGCGGCTGGCGCCTCGGCCCCGGCTGTGCCTTCCCCCCCGCCTCCGCCGGCCCCGAGCGTGCCCGGGCTGACAGGGACTGCTTGGGTGTTTGCAGCTCAACATTACAGAAAAGAAAAGTCTCGAGGGAGACTCCAGCGATTCAGAAGTAGAAAATGAAGCAAAAAGCAAATTTGTGCCTAGAAAGCCAGCCTGGGTGGATGAAGATGATGAAGCTGAGGAAAAGTAAGTTCAAGTTTGCAGGTAGGAATTACATGTCATGCTTAAGAGTGACTGTTTCTGGCTTCATTTTGGATGATCTTAATGTTCTCTGTGTTTTTTATTTTCTAGTGTTGATATGACCCATAGGTATAGGAAAGATTTAATGAAAAGTGATGCTGAGAAGATACTGACTCAGAAAAAGCTAAAAAGAAGACTTGAAGAACAGTGAGTTTCACTAATGTTTTTGTGGCTAACTTTATTAAGATAAGATACATTTACGTGACATGCAAGGTTATTTTCTCTTCGCCCATTGTATTAATGTGGGCCCTTTAAAGCTAGTGCTTCTTACAATACTTGCAGTATTTTAAAATCCAAAATAATGTTAAGAATAATAAATAAAGCGTGCAGTAGAGCTATCTAGACTAATTTTTTTAATACTTTAGTAGCGCTGCATGAATTAATTAGTCTTTTAGGGAGTTAAGCCAGAAATTTTTTACAGTGATATATTGCTTTGTAAATAGAATGATAGAATATGTTAACTTAATAGGGTATGTAAAAAGGAGCTGAGATGTGTTTGGGTTGGCTTGGTATTAGCATATATTATTGCAAAGAACACTGCTTTAATGGTTGGCATCAATTTTACTTTAGGAAGTCAGCAAAAGGCAGAAAGCTGAGTGAATTTGTAAAAAGCTTGCATGGTGTTCTAAGTGCAGGTAACCTTGAAAAATTGTGACTATACGTCTTATAAGTATTTAACGCATAGAAGAAAATGACTTCTCAAAAAAGTTGTTTGTTTTTTTTTCTCATCTACTTCTACCATTCTCTTGCTAGGTTTCAGCGAGCTATGGGAGGAGTTCCTGCCTGGGCTGATCTAGAAAACAGGAAGAAATCCAAAAGGACTGCAAGTGATAGTAAATAAATCCATTACTATTGTAATAAGCATTTCCGTGATTCCCTATTCTGCTTCTTAGAAAGTAAATTTTCCTGAAAACTTTAATTTCCAGTAATGTGATAATATGCTGCATAAGTCAGCTTTATTCCTTCTTTCTGAGTGCTTTGATTTAATTTGTTTTTGTAAGGAATTTTTAGGTTTTAATGTGGGAGCGTTTGTGGAATTAGCCTATTCAATGTGCTTTGTCTTAATTAGGTGACAGTGATGAAGATGATGACCTGCTACGCAGGACTGGCAATTTTGTATCAAACTCTGAGTCCCTGCCAAGAGGTATATTGAAGGTAAAGGCAAGCCTGTCTTTCTACCCTAGTTTGACTCATATGCACGCTTTGACTTATTTGGTGATATTTGAACAATAAAATTAGGGATCGCTTTTTTTTTTTTTATCTCTGTAACTGAAAACTCTAAAGAGTAAACAGTTGGACATACTGGATGTTTCACATCATGAAAGCATGTAACAATGAATTGAGATGTATTGTTTGACGTAAGAATTAGTTTATGTACTTAAAGGTATCATCTTGTAGTAGGATTTTAATTTCTGCATAGGAAGGATGGAGTTCTCCACAACTTTAAGGCTACTGGAATGGTCTTTGAGAAGAGATAGCTTTAAATGAGTGTTTCTTACACTCTTTTCTACAGCTACTTCAGATGAGTCAGAATGCAACTAGTTTTACACGGACTGTTAATTTCAGAAAGGCTAGCAAGTTTCTTATGTCTGCACTGCTGTATTGAAGCAGCTTACTGTGTGTATATTCTGCTTATGTCATTTAAAGTTCATCACAGGGTTTGATATCTTGCTCTTCTGGAATAAAGGGCAATTAAATTGCTTGTTCATCAGCATAAGCAAAAATGTGTGAGTTGTATATTTTTTCAAGGGTTGATCTTTATTCCAGATGAGGACCTGCTTGCCTGCTAATCAGGAACGTTTTGCTAATGGAAGACTGGCAACTGTGCAGTTTCATCCATCTGCTCAGGTGGTCATGACTGCTGGACATGATCGATCTGTGTCACTCTTTCAGGTAAAGAATTTCAATCTAGACTATGTAGATGGACACCAATATGGAATCTTTTTTCTTAAGTATACCTGACATAGCCTGGAATGGTAGAATTTCTTGATCTCTTCCTGTGATGGTTTGAACACAGGGGTCATAATGTCTGTGCATAGAACGGAATTTGCTTGGTTGAAGCATCATATTGGAAGAAATTTCCATCTGTGACTTCATACCAAGCACTTGGAGTGTAGGCAAACTTAGTTGTATTAGTTTTTAGTTGAAGATTTTGATGAGGACTAATGAGATTTTTTGGTTTTTACTTCAGTTGTTTGTAAAACCTGTAGTTTGAGGAGCAGACCACTCTGATTTAAAAGTGTTGTACTGTTGTGAAATCATTTTGGGAGCAGAGAGAGTCTACTCCAGCAAGAAGCTACTCATCCTGGGACACTCCTCTGAAAACTAGAGTTTGTAACTCTTATTTAGGAACTTCGGACATGTCCCAGTATCAGTGAAATGGTCAAAGACACAAGTTGAATTTGGCACTCCCACAGGGCTGCAGGAAAAAAACAATACGAAGCAAATGTTTCTGTTTAGAAAAGCACAATAGACGTGGTTATTTGAACAATGTGTGAGCAAAGCAGGGAAGAAAGGAGCTGTGAAGTATATCCAGGAAGGCTGGGAATACCTGATATGTAGGGTGAGCAGCCAAGAGCCAGGTTATTTGTAGATTTAGGAGAGGAAGAGATTAGTGCTTCAAACAGGTGTACCTCTTACTTTATGTTTCTTGTACTAGTTAGTTGATATGATTTTTCTATGTAGAAGTGTTTTCTATGTTCCTTAATGTGATGATCTGTTTTTTTTGAAGGTTGATGGTATAAGGAATCCAAGAATTCAGAGCATCTATTTAGAGAGTTTTCCAATTTATAAGGCTTCTTTCAGTGTTGATGGGGAACAAGTTATAGCCACTGGTACTCACCATAAAATGTTCTTTGTGTATGACATGATGGGTGGAAGTATTATTCCTATACAGCAAGTAAGAGGTACGTTTTAATAGTGTTGTAAGTGTCTGGGTGTAGTTGAAGCTGTCCCAAATAGAGATGGCATATGAATTTGTTTTAAAATTAAGTGCAGTAAATTATTGGGGGTTGTATTTTCAACTTGTCTTCAGGACTCTTTGCTCAAGTACCTTTAGCTTTAGTTTTTCTGGGATATTAAAATTAATTGTCATATGGTTGTTAATTGTCAACAAAGTTGAGTTGTAGCTTTACTGTGACAGTGTATTATAGAAGTGAAAAGATGAAGTGGAGTCAAGTCTTACTTGTATTCATCATACCTCTGAATGTTGAGGAAAAAGAATAAATTATGCCAATTTGAAGTTCTGAATCTCTTTTTAAAGGTGTGGAGGAAAGATTTATCAGAAACTTTGAAGTCTCTCCAGATGGATCACTTATACTTATAACTGGAACTTCAGGTTACCTGCACTTGTTGTCAATGAAGGTAGTTTCTCTTAATGGTTCACGTAACCTAAGGTTCTTGGTACCTTTTTCCTTTTGAATCTGTGTGCTTATATTTAACCAGAAAAGCAGTCTAGCTTTCAATTGAAACAAAAATATGACACATATTGTGACAGCCCCAAAAATGAGCTGCTGAATCAATTAACTGTAGCGGTATAAAATTATTTGGGGGTATCTGAGAGTTTTTTTTCTGACTGTGCAGTTCTCGTTGGGACTGGTAGAGGAAGGACAGAGGTTCATGGGGTTTTTAAGCTGTCGCTAGAAAAAGTCATATGTCAATGTCATATTTTGGCTGATTGCATGAACACTGTGCTGGCGAAAGGAACGGCCTCAGAGTGGAAACAGGCGTCTGAGGGTGGAAGAGGAATTGCTTTTTTCGGAATAGAGCTAGTGCATGCTGGTGTACAGTGCTCGTGAATCATGCGATCTACTGTGATTCATAATGCATATAGAATTTCTTCAGTTAAATTTTAAAATGCCATATGATGGCAGCTGGATTTGTTTTAAAGTTTTACTAGGAAAAGTGCGTATTAAAAAGAAAGTTCAGTTCCATTACATAATGGAAGACCCTTCAGTGAGGGAGCAAATGGGTGTTTATTGTACTAGCTGTAGTTGTGCAATAATAAACTGATCGTGGACTCAGGAGCATCAGCTTGTGCTCTGGTCTGTAGGCACTGAAAATGTTGATGCTGTTCTTTTAATGTCAGTATAGCTGACGTGGGACAGGAGTGTGGAAACAACTTTCCTACAGATTTTTGGTAGAATCATTGTCACAATTGTTCTTCATCCTATAGACAAAGGAACTGATTAGCACTATGAAGGTAAATGGAAGATGCACTGCATCTGCTTTCACTCCAGACAGCAGTAAAATATATAGTTATTCAAGTAAGTGTTCTCTCTAATGGCACTAATCGTAATTCCATTTTAGTTGCATAATTTTTTACAAGTCATTTATTGTTTTACAAAGATATTTAAAAGACTTTATAAGTGATCCATTATTAAAGAAGGGAGTTAACTATTTTAGTACGCTTTTAGTTGTTTTTTTAAAAATACCTTCTATTTGATAGTTTTAAATGAGCTAATAGTTGTCATCTAATGAAGTTTATTTTAACAAAATAGACAAACAATGTCTTCTATATATATCGCTTCTGTAATTTTCTACTTTATTCTACAACCAGAGGAAGGAGAAGTTTTCATTTGGGATGTGAGAAGCAGAAAGTGTCTACACAAATTTGAAGATGAAGGTTCTTTGGAAGGCAAATGCATTGCTGTTTCAAAAAATAACCAGTATGTGGCATGTGGGTAAGTGTCTTTGATTTGACAACTTCTTCCTATCTATTTTGAAGCTCTTCAGTAAACTTACTGGTGGCTGATGAGAATGTAGGTACAAGGAAGAAGCTTCGTTCTAATAAGGTTAGGGTAGAGATGAATAATGACTACTGCTTGGTTTATAATAACTTGATTTGTTCTGTGTGTATATGAAATAACACACTTAATATCACTCCTGATGTCTTACTGTTGACATATATGGGTTTAGCAGTTAATTCTGAAATCATACTGACGGAAATCACAAATTCTGTAGTACAAATACAGATTCAGGGTCTTCTTCCCTTTCTAGTTCTCTTTTGTATACTCCTAACTTGACTGCTGTAAGATAGCGTGTTAGGATTTGAAAAGATGCCTCATCTCAAAGCTACAAGCTTGGAAGTGTTCTTCCAAGTATACTTACCAAGATGCAACTTGAGCTAACAGTTCTTTTAAATGAGACTAACAAATACTTAAGTACGGTATGCATTTTTGTAGCCCACTGTAGAAGAGGATTTTTAAGAGGACTTACACTACAGGGTGTAAAAAAAAAAAAAAAAAAACAAACAAAAAAAAAAAACCAAACAAAAAAACCCAACTCAAAAGGCTTGAAACTCTTTCAGAATCTTTTGATACCAAGCTCTCATTGCCTTGAATTTGTTGTATGTAAGAAATGGGCTTATCAAGGCTCTCCAGTTAAGTGTGTCTCTTCATATATGAACAAAAAAACCCCAAACAGTATCCTCCACTAAATACTGTTACAAACTCCAAAGCAAAATCAAGCTCCAAGCAAAATGTTGTTATAAACTCCAGTAGATAATTGGAAATGACATTTTTAGTTGAATGGTGGCTATAGATAACAAGGTAATACGTACTGTAAATATTACTTCTTCATATAGTCTTTGTTAACTTCTCTTTTTAGTTCAACTTCCGGAGTTGTAAATTTATATACTACTGATGTCTGTCTCAAAGAAAACCATCCTAAACCTGTTAAAGCCATAATGAACCTAGTTACATCTGCTACATGTGTGACCTTCAATCCCACAACAGAAATTTTGGCAGTGGCTTCCCGTGAAACTGATGAGGCTGTCAAATTGGTATGTTCAGCATCTTTAGTGCAAGCATTTTTGTATCTTGATCAAAATGTTCCTGGTGACATAATAAAATGGATATTGAGCAGATACGTGTACAGCAGAATTTGCTAGACTGAGCAGATCAGGACATGTAGATGATATTGTTCATTTATAAGGAAATATTTTTTTCTTTAGGGAAGTTGTTCTGAAAATACCTTATTGTCTAGTTTACCTTTTGTTTTTCCCTTTTAAAAATGCCCTTGTTTTAGTGCTGTAAATAAAACTTGGCAACAAATGTGAATTTTCAGCAGCTATTAACTGTAGTGGTCTTACTAAGTGGTGTTTTCCCTAGCTCATTCAAAAATTTGCCAGCATTTTCAGAGTTCTGGCCAACAGTGGAATTACAGAATTAATCTGAGGGTTTGAAAGCCTATCTTTTACTAGTTAGATGTAATTACTTAAAAATAATTGAGTTGCAAAAACTGGCTCTGTAGTGTGTTCCCTGTACCCTTTCTCCAGTAGAATTCTCTATGTCATAGAGTGATGTAGAAGAGGAATATAACAACATTTGAACTTAACGTTGACCTTCAATTTTTAATTTGTACTTTAGTTTGAATTTTAGTGGCTTTTTCTTATTTGTTATAACTAATGACCTATTTTTCAATAGGTACACATTCCTTCATATACTGTATTCTCAAACTTCCCAGTGTTCAGAAGAAAACAAATTTATCTTGCTCAATCTATGGACTTTTCTCCCAGAAGTGGTTTTTTCTCTGTAGCAAATAACAAAGGCAAAGCTTTGTTATTTAGGTATGTACTAAGTTAGATTTATTAATTCCAGATAACTTAAACTGCTTATTATAATGGCACTTGGAGTAAATCTAGCATCTGGATGATTACTATCTTTTGCACACCTGTATTTCAGATTAGCTAAGAATACTCAAAGTGACACTACTGAATAGTTGTTGCTTCTTTGTTGTTCATTCAACAGGTTGCTGAGAAGTTTTAAATCTGTCTCAACTTTTTTTTTCTTCAGGCTGAAACATTATTCAGATTTTTAAAAGAAGATACAGGAAAAAATGCACCAGAACTGAGGTAAAAGTAGCACAAGAGCTGTTGACAGCATTTTCTTGAGGAACCTTACTCATTTTGCTACCTCCACATCTTTATAGATGTCAAGAAGTTGTTAATACTGTGTAATCTGAAACTGTTCTGTCTAGATCATTCATGTAGACTCCACATGATGGCCAAGAGTCAGGCTTGTCATGACAACCTCAGGTTTTCTAACAGTACTGTTCCAGGGAGATGGTAGTTCAACTAAACTGCTCAGTCCTGTTGACAGCAGTTTTTAAAATCTTAATATATTTAAATCAAACTCAAAAGCAGTGTTAAAAACAGCTGTAGGCTGGCAGATACTTGGCTTGATCCTGCTATGAAGTCGTGTAAGTGAACCCACACGAGTCTTCATAATTTCAAATTTAGATTACATAAATTACTGAAGTTTGTAATAGAGCTTGTGTGCAGATGATATTTTACTGTACGCTTTAACCTATTCTTGGCTAACTGGTAAGACCTGTAGCCTTGATGGTAGTACAGTAGTTGTGCTTGACTCAAAATGTTTTAATGATTGGAAGCTCAGGTCATTCAGACTGGAAGCAGGCATGTTTTCTGTGTGTTAAGATTGCATAAAACTTTGTGATGGCTAAATATTTAGAAGATAGTAACAAAATTCTCTGTACCGATCTTTCCCCAGGTGTTGTAACCTGCAGATACAAGTACACTGACAAAATCAAACATGTTTTTCTATTTTATATGGAAGTTCAAAAGTACATTAATGTATCATCTGTGGCTTTGAATTTTTGTTCCATAATAAATATACCTGAGAAGTTTCCAGGCAAGCTGTTTCAATTTTTTTCCAATATTTTGGGTAAGCAAATGACTATGTACATTTGAATGGTTGGCCTTCAAGGTGATGTCTTCAAGAAATGCTTAAATGTGTTTAGTTGTTAGGAGCCTGTAAAGTATGCCAATGCTGATCAGGAAACATTAGTTTTGTGTAAACTGTAAACTCTGGTCCTTGTGTTTAGCTTTTCCATCAGCCAGGTCCATTTGAGGCTGGGTTGGAAACAGCATTTTGCTGACTGGAGGAGCAAATAAACCTGAAACCCTGTTGATCCATTGTAGTTCAGCCCAGGTTAATGGGCCGGCTATAACTTAAATCTAGCCTAAGTCAAAAAATGAGAAACAACACCCTCAGTTGTCTTACTGCCCCCTGTGTGTCACAAAACACCTGTATGTAATGTGGTTTTAATTCTTAAGGAAGACTCCATTCTTTGGTTTCTGTGAAAGCAAAGCTTCCCTTGATTTTTAAATCAGTTGTGAAAATCTGATAACCATTAGGGTCACCTAGCAAGGACTGCTTTACAGCCATTGCTGTTTTTTCATGGGATGCCATATATTGCATGTCTGATAGCTTTGTTCCTGAAGTGTCCACCTCTTTTGTTTTAAATCCATGAACAAAATCTTGACTAGGAATCTGCTACAGTAAAACCCCTGCTTTGAGAATAAATTGTGACTAATAAATTTGTCCCCTTCACATGAGGGAGCTTTTTGGGCAGTAACATCAGGAGCCAAGGTGCTCCTGTAACCACTAATGAAGTCATTAAGTCTTCAGTGAAGGTGGCATTACAGAAAAGCACAAGTACTCTGGGCATGAGAAAAAGCTAATTCTAGAATCCTGTCCAAAACTTTAAATCTATTAGCCTATTGCTAAATTCTTGTCATACTGTTTTAAAGAAAGAGTATTGTGTTCTCTGATGTAATGAGTTTTTAAAATGGCTTTGCTAGTGATTCATTGTAAGATGAGAACTTGATTTCACGTATCAGAGGAGAAAGCAGAAGATGCTTTGGAGGTGTTAAATTGACTGCAGCGTTTACCCTTACTGTAGTGCTAAAAGTAAACTGAAGACCCTAGTATGGAAGAGTGAAATTAAATCATAAGCACGCTTTATTAAGATGCTTGCTGTAGGATTCTTTTGTTACAAACAAATCTAGTTAAGATCTGCCTGGGACTGAGATTTTATTAATTTCAGAAATGTAGGTGCTGAAGCTGGTTTATGACTTCACTAGAGGGCAGCACTTAATCACGCATGGGGAGAAGGCTGCTTCATATTCCTGAACAGTTTGTCCTGTGACAGCACTGCTGATGAGTAAGGTTTTGGTTGTGGTTATTGACACAATTTGCCTTTTTAAAATCGTATCTGTATTTCACTATTAGGGAGGTTTAAGTAGTGTGCCTTCATCCATAAAACTATTAAATAATTTTAAATCAAAGACTTGTAAAAAGGTAGGGTTTTAAAGACATTGTCTTTTACCAACTCTCGCTGAAGTAGTTGTGAAGTATTTTAATACCATTTAATCTGCTTGTCCTGAGATTGTGCCACTCTTTGCACAGTATGTGCTTCTCCACTTTACCCATTAAAAGAGATCCAAAACCCAGTGTTCCAAAGCCGTATTGCAAGCCAGTGGCAGATCTAGAATTAAAACTTGGGAATTAATGGGTTCCTGGACTTGTGTAGTTAGCATAAAGACATGTTTCTGACGTTATTCCTTGCCCATCTTGCTGACTTGTGCTTGGGAGAAGTCCAGATTGGATGGAGCAGGAGACCAAATGGAAAAGGTGTTATAAGACATCTGAGATGCTGTATGCTCTTGTGTCACTGCAGGTGATTTCAAATAGTGGCAGGAAGCAAGGAGAGATTAAACATTTATTTTTGCAAATTCTGTGATCTAAGTTGCAAATATTAAGCTCTGCCCTGAGTTGTGGGTAGCACTGCAGTACAAGGTTGTTTACATTTTGTACTTTATACCTTAATTATTGCTGTTTTGTTTTTATCTTCTGGAAACCATAACTTACTGCACCATCTAGTATAAAATAGGGAGGACTTTTTGCCTTGAGAAATGAAGGAAACCTCAAGGCGCTTGTTGCATTTCTTAATGGGTTTTGAGTAATGACACTTTCATGTACTAAACAGGTCTTAAAGCTTGGATGATATCAAGTATTGCAAGAAATTGAAACTGTTTCTAGTGTCTCCAGGGATATTTATTTGCTATGGAATAATTACTATTAACTATACATACCACTGTACTCTCATTCTGAAAATGCTATTGGTCTTTTTACCATGTGTTAAGAGTACTTAAGCTTCTGACCTATTTAAAACCTCTTCGTATTTTAATTCCTTTTTTCTTTCTTTTTTTGCTGCTTTTTATGGCATTGCTAAGCTGAAGTTCTTTTAATGAATTATTTCTCTGCTTTTCCTCTCCTTCTATTCTCCTTGGCAAAATAAATTTTATTGATGTAGTCCATTAAATATTTATCACTGCAGCCTTTCCCCTTCAGGCTGTGATCTTGTCCGATTTTGCAAGCTAAAGAGAATTAGTCTGGTTAGTACTTAGAAAGGAAACTTCCAAGAAAAAAAACGGACTAGATGTTAGAGTGACACTGGTTATTTAGAAAATTACTGGGTTTGCTACTAAGTCTGTCCTGAATCTGCTGCTTGACCTTGCTCCTGTTTGAGAGCTGTGTTTGTGGTGCAGGTGGCTTAGCAAATTCTTAAAGGACTGAACGATTTTTTTTTTTTTTTTCTCCCATGTCTCATTCAATATGTAGGATTGCTGCTCTCAAAATTATTTGGCAAGTTATGGTTCTGTAAGTTTCTTCCATGTGTAACTGTTTCAACTGCTACATGATTTTTCCAACTGCTTAGTGATCAGACAGCAAATGAGTTTCTCCTCCTTAGATGTAGTGCTGAACCCATCTAGTGGATGTAGCAGTCATAGCACACCTTGATAAGAAGCTGATTTCTCACCTAGAGATGTTTTCTGAAGTATTTTAAGTCTTTTGGTTATCTTCTAAATCCTTTTTTTGCTATGATTTGTAAGATCTAGGGGGAGAATACAGAGCTCTTCTGGAGGGTGACTGAAATCAATCTGTACAGGATAAAAGCCATCGTTACTGCTGTCTAGTACCTCCAGGAGTCTTGCTGGTATCGAGTATACCCCACTGTCACTTAGAAAATTGGTTTATGATGCATTTCCTTTCGTCTAACTAACAGCAGCAATGTGCTGGACACTTAATGACACATTACTGTGATTGTTTGGATTTCTTCTATTGAAACTATGGAACAATGATTGTTTTTTCTGGAACAAAACATCTCCTGGGCACTCAGATGTTTTCGTCCAACGTTTGTGTCACAGGGAGATGGCAATACAGTCTAACCCATTCTGGGATGTTTCCATTGAGGCAGTCGGCACCTGTATATTTGTTTGCAGTGATTAAAACTATACATGTTATACATCTTATTACATTACTTTAAGACCCCTTAACCTGAATGAAATCATAAGCTGATCAGACACTTTGAAATGGCTGTAATATGATGTGGTGTTCATAATGGATATTGTAAAATGTGCCTAAGATCTCAGTCTTCGTAGTGTTTTATTTTGCACATAAGATTGCCTGTCATATGAGACTTCCATTTTGTGTGTGCAGTGTTGACTGTTTTATTATGCTTAAACAGATGGGAGGAGAAGTTGAAGCAGAGGATTTTGGAAAAGTGATGCAGGAACCCTTACTCACCATTGCTACCCATTGCTGTTCTGCCTTGTTAGAAGACCAGAGATCTGTATTTAGCATAGGTTTAGGATGTATTCTATTGTATTTTCAGTAAGCTTCTACTGAATTGAAACCAATTTAAGAAATAAAGCCTGGCAAGATTTTTTTATCAGATTTACATGGCTAGGAACAAGGGGGAGTTGAACATCATTTTAGGATCTTTGAAGATGTTTCCATTTTATGGAGATCCTGCTGCAATGTAGTGCTTAGCTAAGGGTCTGTATCGCATGTTGAAAGAAACATGCTCAAACACAGGGGCTCTTTGATCTTTGTTTTAAGCTTTGGGTGCATATTTCTAAGTTACTGGAAGAGAAAAGGTGTTTTGAGTACTTAGAATTCAAACATAATTGTTCAAAAACTTGCCTAGTCACTCAACTTCAGCATCCTGCTCTTCATGAGATTGTTTCAGTCATTTGATGAAAAACTATTAGCTCTGATCTACTGGGAGAAATTGCATTAAGAATTAAATAATTAAGCAATAGGGTTTTTTTTTGTAGCTTCTCTGAATGCATTGCAGCAGCAACAGTTTGTTCCGAGCCTCACTGTACTCCATAGTTGTCTTGTCCTTCCTTGGAGAATGTTGTCCTTTGCTTGTATTAACATGTTATACATGGCTGCAATCACAGCCATGCTTACGTGTGCCCTAACAGACTTCACTGGATCTGGGAGACCATGCAACCTACCTTTGCCTGCACACAGGGGTTAGTTTCTGGAGATAACAGCTCAGCTAGCTGAAGAAGTTTCTTCATGAGTTTGAAGAGATGAACTAGATTACAGAAAAATGTGCCCCATTGATCACTAACACTCTGCACCAATTCCTTGTATGATTCTGCAGGGTATTGAGTTTGTACTGCTAACAGTTGTTTTTAACAAAATACAAGTATATGTTACACTGTGGGATAGCGGTGTCCTAGCTGCAGTATGCTTCTGTTCAGTATGGGTAAGCTGGAGGGGACATCACTATACTGTGAGAGGAAGCAGCTGTGGTTTGGAAAGGAATGGAAAGGTTTTTGTACAACAGCAAATTCAAGGTTACATTCAATTGACACCCAAGAAATGGTTGGGTAAATAAAATAGGAAAATGACATAGGATTCATGAATAAGAGACAAATTTGTCTAAGTTAATTCTGTATGTAACAGTCATTATTGCTTATAAAGATATTTATGTCTATATTAACACAAACTAGTCTTTCATCTGTATAAATTTATCTAGCAGAGTCAGGCCCC